GTATCAGTCAGTATGAAATACAAACGTGAAATGACAATGCATTGACGTTTCTTAATGAGTATCAGTCAGTATGAAATACAAACGTGAAATATGACTTTACAAAGCTGTTAGTTTGATCTTCCAATGCATTATGTCATGCTATCCAATCCACCTATTTTGCCGTAAGAGAATTGCATCACGTCGCCATGTCGGAATTCTTACTACACTGCATATTATTATTGGTGCTTTCTCCAAATGTTGATGACTTTAGCTATTACAGACAAGACTGCAAATCTTGTTCATCAACCTTCTAGTGATTGAAACAGCTCAAGCACCAAGCCATGTGAGTCACACAGAAGACAAAGGAGCGAGGGGGGCGAGGATGGGGACCGTGACGAGGAGGGACAGGCTCTCTCATTAGCATAAAGAGGATAATTGTAGCCCCGACCCCTGAAGCCTGACATCCTCTACTGAATAGCGTGTGATGGCGACTAACACTGGGCCAGTACATCAGGGAAAACGGCATCACGCGTTTCCATAAGCACCATTGTAACTCCTTCATCTCACTCCTCCTTATTTTCACACAAGCATTAAAACATGCAACATTACGGAGTACATATGCGCTGCTCTTGTTACCCACGAATGCATTAAATTCGGGCTTCAGCATTTTGAGCCATTTGTGATGTGCCGTGGAGAGAGAAGAAATTTCAATACATTCATTGGCCATAATATTAGGTACACCTTCTTGCAACCTGAGCTCTATCCAAAACCAAACTATTCATTTAAAGATATAAGTATTATTGCGGTTGTAGTTGGTCGTCGTATAAAACTGTTACTGCACAGGAGAAAATACCGTTTGGAATTCATCTTCAGCAATACAAATGAACACTCATTATCATCATTTTTTTTTAATGTCAAGTTATTTTACGGCGTCTCATTATCATCTGCTTGACATAATATTGTGGCCACTGAGTGTAACATTTTGATTCCGTGGAGCCGGTGTTACATTATTTATGAGTCATTGGTGACTTCAATAAGTGAGTGCATTCGGACTTCCCGAGTGCATACGATGCAGCCTTCACACCACCTTGCCACGAGCTGACTTGGAAGGCCGTTTTTATAGACGTCATTATGGGGGTGTGGGCGGGGGGCATCCATGACAAATGTTGTGAGCACACTGTCACTGGTGGGGCCCTCCATTTTCTAACCTGCTTATCATCATTCGGGTCACGGGTGAGCTAAAGCCTATGCAGCTGACTTAAGGTGAGAGGTGGGGTACACCCTGGACGGGTCGCCAGCCAATCACAGGGCACATATGGACAAACAAGCATTTACACTCACACCACGTGTGCGGGGACTGACCCCATGTTGCCTCAACTGAAGTCAACTACAGTTGAACCACTCCAAAGAGTAAACCACTGTGTTGTGAGACTTGAAAATGATCAAATTTCATTTGATTGGTCAAAGAGTTATTTTCCACAAAGAATGTATCAACAAGTAATGTTCATCTCGCTCTATCCATTTTTTATATTTATATGGCGGGTTTATTTTGAATGCAAGTGAACAATGATTTGTTTCAGAGAGAGTCGTCTTATTATAACAGGCATAAAGACTGGAAATTAAAAAAGAAAACAAACAAACAAAAAAAAAAATCCACCAGTTTTGATTTTTGCCATTCAGCCCCATGTTGGAGAAGAGCAAAAATAACTGAAACACTGAACAGTTGGAGATGTGCCTTCGAAAGTTGAGAGAAGTTCACCTGTAAAGCTAATACTGCGCTTTAGGTTCGTCTTCAAATTTCATCCGCAGGCGCAATATCCCCTACAATTTTTTTCCCCCTCCGAGTCTACACGACGTGCCTTGACTCAATTCAGATTGGGAAACATTGCAGCGCACCATCAGTGACTCATGCTTGGAGTCGATACTTTCCATACAGGATCTTCAAACAGACATGGCTCTGCAGGTGAAATTTCAGAACACTGAAGCTAAAACTTTCAGCCGATAGATTCCCAGCACATCACCAACCGTTCACACGATGACAGCGTGCATTAATGTGCAACCGTCCACTCCTGATGTGGAATCAACCATGGATGAGGAAGCATATAATCACCGCAACAGTTTTGCATTTGCAATCATGCCACAGCAATGTGAGACAGGCCCTCAACAAATTGATTATTTACAGCCACGTATTTCATGGGAGCGCCATCCGCAGCCACGAATGTGTGCCATTGCCTTATTACATGTGCCACTGATTGAACAAACAACATACAGATGACACCTCAGCAGGAAGAGTGTCTGACGTTCGTCATCTAAATAAGAAGGCGGCCCGTGCAAATCTTTGCGAGTGAAGAGTCTGAAGAGGTTCACGGTGTTCAATTACTTTTTTTTTTTTTTTTTTATGCTCCTTATGCTTTCCATTATTTCCATGAAGTGAGCCTTAGCTCAGTTGTGTTCCTGTGAAACATTGGGGAATTTTAAGGCACCGGAGTTTAAAATTGCTTCATCTCTCCACTGATATGCAGCCAAGCACAAAATTACAAATCTGCCTGCAGCCTTTGGTCGAACATTTCAGCTCAGTTGCATATTGGGCTGATTTGAAATATGCGATGACCTCATCACAGTGGCTAAAACGACTTTGTTTCTTTCTATATACAAAGATGTATGCTTTTATGAGGACGACTTTCAAGTTAGAGTTAGCGGAATTCATGCACCACAAACTTAAATATGGTCATGGTAAAAAATAAATAAATAAAAACCATTGGCACACTTTAGTCAAAGCGGAACACCTGTACAAAAATATACCCCCAAAACTATAATTAAAAAAAAACTAAACATAATTTCTCAAATAAAGTTAGTCATTGATCAAAAATATATATAGTGGATATATTAAGTCAACACACTCCTGTTCAGATGCCACAATTTTGTGTGAGATGAAGCAAAATCCTTTCAAAACTTTTTTTTCACTGTTAATGCGACCTATAACCTGCGCACCTCAATTGAAGAAAATGAACCTTTTTTTTTTCCTTCTGATGAGCAGCATTGTGTTTGTGGCAAACACAATGTTTAATATTGATTTCAAAGGAAGTTTGCAGTTTTTAGCCACTGTTCACAAATCTGCCCGAATGCTGCCAGAAATCTTTGCAGCTTGTTCAGTGTTGCTGTTGGGTTCTGGACAGCAGTTCAGGGGACGTGCAGTTCTTGGTAATGTCATCGCTGTGTCATATTTTCACTACCCGATGATGACTGTCTTCACTGTTTTACGTGGTTTGTTTAGAGTAGAGTGCCTCAGAAATTCTTCTCTTAAATGATACCTTTTACCACAAGATCCCCCCCCCCCCCCCCCCTCAAAAAACACAAAAAAACACACCCAGAATCTTTGCGAGTGAAGAGTCTGAAGAGGTTCACGGTGTTCAATTATTTTTTTTTTTTTTTTTTATGCTCCTTATGCTTTCCATTATTTCCATGAAGTGAGCCTTAGCTCAGTTGTGTTCCTGTGAAACATTGGGGAATTTTAAGGCACCGGAGTTTAAAATTGCTTCATCTCTCCACTGATATGCAGCCAAGCACAAAATTACAAATCTGCCTGCAGCCTTTGGTCGAACATTTCAGCTCAGTTGCATATTGGGCTGATTTGAAATATGCGATGACCTCATCACAGTGGCTAAAACGACTTTGTTTCTTTCTATATACAAAGATGTATGCTTTTATGAGGACGACTTTCAAGTTAGAGTTAGCGGAATTCATGCACCACAAACTTAAATATGGTCATGGTAAAAAATAAATAAATAAAAACCATTGGCACACTTTAGTCAAAGCGGAACACCTGTACAAAAATATACCCCCAAAACTATAATTAAAAAAAAACTAAACATAATTTCTCAAATAAAGTTAGTCATTGATCAAAAATATATATAGTGGATATATTAAGTCAACACACTCCTGTTCAGATGCCACAATTTTGTGTGAGATGAAGCAAAATCCTTTCAAAACTTTTTTTTCACTGTTAATGCGACCTATAACCTGCGCACCTCAATTGAAGAAAATGAACCTTTTTTTTTTCCTTCTGATGAGCAGCATTGTGTTTGTGGCAAACACAATGTTTAATATTGATTTCAAAGGAAGTTTGCAGTTTTTAGCCACTGTTCACAAATCTGCCCGAATGCTGCCAGAAATCTTTGCAGCTTGTTCAGTGTTGCTGTTGGGTTCTGGACAGCAGTTCAGGGGACGTGCAGTTCTTGGTAATGTCATCGCTGTGTCATATTTTCACTACCCGATGATGACTGTCTTCACTGTTTTACGTGGTTTGTTTAGAGTAGAGTGCCTCAGAAATTCTTCTCTTAAATGATACCTTTTACCACAAGACCCCCCCCCCCCCCCCCACCCCCCCCCCGACTTGAAAAATGTCAAGAAAAGCCTCGTGGAATACCTCAACTTCATTTGGGGGTTATCAGAGGCACTTTAAGCAACGGCATCATTTAACTGGAATTTAAGCAAACATGGTTAATTCTGAACACAGCCACAACCTCAGTTGTAAGTGGCAATGAGCAGGTGCACACTCAGATTGTTGTTTATTTCTTCATTTTGAATTTTGACTCCCTCAATTTTGTTTTTTTTTTTTCTGTTTTACAGGTTAAAAGACATTAACGGTGCAACACTTTTTGCAATGAGTGATCTTGATCTCATTTCTCTATATCATAAAAGCAGGCATTTCACAAGGTTTTTTTTGTTGTTATTTTCATGCAATAAAAAAAAATACTAAGTCAAATGTATACCTTCAAGTGGCTTCTGAGAGGAAAAAGAATGCTGCTTCTCTCTGCTGGAGGACAGGAGTACTGCAGTATTAAAGGAGTGTCTTTAAATTATTTACTTAAAATATTTACACATGGTGCACGCATGACAATAATTTAAAGAAATTATTGTCATGCGTACACCAAGTGTAAAGGGGCACTCTGCGTATATGGTGACTGACTTTTCCCCCCCATCAAACCAAACAAGCATGCTGTATATGCACATGTGTAATATCATGCCTCATATGTCAAGACTTTATTTGCATTGAATGAATGCAATCGTTGTTCCTCCTTTGAATCAGGGACTGGCTGATGAACACATACAACACCTGATGTTTTACTTCATGTCGTGGGTCTTCCTGGCTAGAGACTCCAAAGCGGTAAACATGGTGTCAGGTGTTTCGGAATCCTCCAGCTGAGCCTTTGCACAGAAGAAAGGCGGGACCAAGTCCATGGGATTGGTGATGCCAAGTACCCAGTTGAAAGTGCTGGAAAAGGAAGACAGACGCTTGTTCCGATTGTTCGGTGATATGGTTCCGTGTGACTTTCTGTTGAGTAATTCTGCATGTTTTCACACACTTACAGTATTGCACGAAGAGAAAAATATCAGATAGCCATTCGCAAACTAAAACTACACTCAGTGACAAAAGTGGACGGTGAGCATGCGCTGGTGTTGATGCGACGCTTGTATTAGATCTCATAAGTATCATGACATTATTACGACAAACACTTAAGGATGCTGACAGAGGAAATGTGAAGGTTTGAATTCAAAATTGCTCTTCAAGAACATTCCTTATGGCATGCCAGGTCATACCTGATAATGGTCCATCCACTTGTTGGTGTGTAACCAGTGAAGGTCATTGGGATGCAGCCAATCTCAGTGAAGACGCTCGTATAGGAACCTGAATTCATGACGGTATAGAATAAGTGTTTAAATAAAAAAAAATAAAAATAAAGTGTTTCATGCATTGTCACACTACCTTTGCAAATATATGTCACCTCCAAATAAACCTATGATGGATTTTGGATTATAAAAGTAGCATATATTGTCAAACTCTGCTGAACCTTGCCCTGTCAACGGAGAGTTATTTTTGACCTTAGGAGCTGTGCGAGTGTCACAGTTCCATAGCGTTTTTTCTCACCATTGCCGGGCAGGTCCCCGTACCACGTGTTGACCAGCACACCCATTCCCCACGAGGAAGAGGAGCCCAAAACGATCTGACCCATCAAATTGGCATCATCGGGCACTTGCATGGGAACGAAATCTGTATTCAGCCGTCTCTTCTTGCAAGACAGTTTGCTCCAGTCGATTTCATAATAGACTTTCTAGAAAATAGAAAAGTGCTACCCTTTAATAAATCATTCTTAGATGTTTACCGTACAGACAGCTATCACAAACATGAAGAGGAAATGCCCCGAGAAGACTCACATGCGCATGCAGAACATACGCAAACTCCACACTTATTACACACACTAAATGGTTGTCTTTTTTTTGTTGTTGTTTTCATGTTAATTTAGGTCATTTCCATCTTTTGTATGTTAAGTGTTTGATGCCACCCAAAAAATGGCCTACCCCCATTCTGGTCCCCTGTGCTCAGTCATGTGTCTCAGCATTGCAATTAACTGTTTACTTTGGGTTTATGGTTGAATAAACTTATTTGGTGGGGCAGGGCGGTCCATGAGTTTTGCCTCAAAAAGCAGATGCGCCATTCACATGTAAATACCTTTTGGAACAGCATCAGTTGGTCCACAGTCAAGGTTTCATTTCCAACCATGCCAAAATTTCGAACCCGAATCTTCTGACCAAAAGCATCATAGGTGATTGTTCCCGTAGACATGACAAGACCATTGAAGCCCATCTGGAAGATAAGTGACATCTTTCTGGATACCCAAGGTAAAATATGCACCGAATGTGTATATTTTTCTTTTTTAAATGCAGAAGGGGGACAAAAGCAACTGTCTGGCTTACCACAGTGACACCTCCAGTCATCAGGGGAGGAGACTCTATGCAAAAGGAAATGTAGCAAAAATATTGGTGCATGCAAAATCGACATAGAAATGAGTATTCAGGTTCTATAAAGCGTGATTCAAAAACATGGATAAACATTTTAAAATTACACTCATTGACCACAGCATTAATAGGCTGTTAAATGACCGCGACAAGAGCAACATCCAAAGTTCTTCTGCCCACAATGACCAACAATACTGTGGCTTTGCAGGCTCCATTAACAACAATTTAAGAAGGTTCACTGGACTGTACAGGCGAACCTAATAGTCTGTGGGAGAGGAACCTACAGCCGTGGTCGACCATGAGAGAGAAAATTTTATGGTCTGATGAGACAATGTTTTAACACTTTGGCACGAATGCCAAGATTCTATGAATGTCCTGCAGCCACAGCCTAGACTTGAATCCGATCGACCAACTTTGGAGATCTGAAAATACAGACGCTCACCATCCAATCAGATGGGAGCTCGAGAGAGGATGCAAAGAGAGGTGAAACTGCCCAAAAGAGAAAGTGCGCCAAGATTGTGGAATCATATTCAAAACGACTTGAGGCTGTAATTGCTGCCAAAGTAGTGAGCAAAGTGTTTGAATAGTTAAGTCATTTCGGAGTTGATTTGTAAGACTTTGCAAGAAAATGAAGCGCTGTGAATCTTTTCCAGATGCACTCTATATAATCGTAAACCTTTTGTCTGACCCCTGGCAGGAAAGATTTCCCACCTCTTATATCACCAGTTTAATTATCACACATTCATATGAAATTGTACACAGAGGAATGCAGGATCAATGTCGAGTAATTTCCATTTCAATAACTGTGAAAAGATGTAGTGTAGAGATCAAACTCACCACATTGTTGGGGTTTCTGCGCACCGGCAGCTGCAAGCAGCAGGCCGACAATGGCCAAAGCACTGACGACGTTCATGTTCAGACGCTGCAAACACCTTCGAGTCACAGAGCAACAGCCGACTCCAAATAAATCCGGCTCACAGCTGGACAGGTCCCACCAAGTTTTTCTGCCCACACCAACTCTTGTCTTTGAGCTCCCCCGAAAAAAATATCGACTCAGTATGGAAACTGACAGATACTGATGATGGGATGACGTATGTCATGGATCACAGTTACCCCCAACCTATGTTCAGCTGCCATCATGGAGATAATCTGAATTGAATATTAAAATCACATCCAGAACTATTCTCAGTAGTAATTCAAATGTGACCTTTTTTTTTCTCCCAAAACTCATTTTTAAAAATGAGATGCGTTGAGACAACAGTTAAGAGTTGTTGGGTGGAAACTGATGCAGCTGGAACAATTCCCACATTGCATCAGCTTCCACCTGCTCTGTTCTAAACCTGCGTCATCCGGTTCTCAGTGTTATCGCAGAACAAATTAAACTCCTCACCACTTTTACTACAGAGGTTACAATTATTCCTTAAACAAGCACTACTGTTCCTGAATAACAGGGAAGGAAAGTGAAGGTAATTTTACACTTTCAATACTCTGAACACCTGACTCTTGATTAACGCCCCCCGCCCCACCTTACCCAAACATATTTTCAGTGCCCAAAGAGTGTTTTGCTGTTTTTTTTATTATCAGCACTACGCTGAAAAACGTGATCACCAAGAAAACCAGATAATACACCATCATCTCATTGCAACAAAGCTGAAGTCTTGTGCATGATACAAATAACGGCTCTTTGCAGGCAAGCACCTTTCATTTTAAACAATGGTGAAGCAGAAACATGCAGTCAAGATAAACTGCAATGTGGCATTATGCACACTATTCCCCCCCCCAATGTGTATAATACTGAATTATTTTTAAGTTGCCTCCTTATGTTTGCCGCTTTGGGTTCTCAATGTGGACGATTAATGGAACCCATGTATCAGATGAGCGAAGAATATTTTCCCTCTCTCGGTTTCCATCCTAAATTAATTAAAACCACCACCATAAATCGAGGAAATGTACCGCAAAAAAAATCAATTAAAATGCAGTAGTTAAGAGATAAAGTTAAATATTTTTTAAATAAACAGTACAAATGTTTAACAACACTTTTGTTTGGATGTCACTATTGCAGTTAAGCCTCAGAAATGTACACCTGATGTACCGTAAGTCGAGGAATAGCAACACAAGCAAGTTCATATCATTCCAGTTAGGAGCTTTTTTTTTTTTTTATACTCGGGGTGCTTTTGAGTGGAGACTGTGATAAATAAGTTCAACATGGGGGTGTACAGTGTGAAATCACATCTGTTACGGGGTGAGCATAACTTGGTAGGGGAAGCGACAGGGCGTTTTTGTACAGTCAAAATGAAAATGGACACTTTGTGGCAAAAGGGGGGCTGGGTTGGAACGCTGGCTGCAACCCACAATCATCTAACCCGCTTGGATCAATCAAAGCAGTACAATCAATTCAAAGTTCCATCGCACATTCATCCTCTCATCTCTTCCCTGACAACTACCAAAAGCAAGCTGCCATTGTGCTTTCGTCTTAAAATAAATGACATTAAAATAACACTAACTTGCTGCTGCTTTTGTACTTCCTGAAAAGACACATTTTAAAACAAGTTCAAGTTCCTTTCACGTCCTTGACTTTCCAGGATGTATTTCATCTGCTATCTTCATGATTGATGCAACTTGAAATGTCATGTTTTCAACATTAGCATTCATCCTTCCCAGAGTTCCAAAACACATCCACCTTACAGTGTTCTGCTACTATTTCAATATTCAGACACACGCAGACTCACACGCGCACAGTGTATATTAATACCCTGAAAGCATGCATTGTGGTGTCTTTTTGGCCATTTGATAGCCAAACACTGCTGTGTGTGTGTGTGTGTGTGGGTGGGTGCGGTGGGGTGGGGTGGAGTGCAGTGGAGTGGAGTGTGGGGGGGTCAGTGGAGTCCCTATGGGGTTTGACGAAAAGAGAACATGGAGTAAGTGGGCCTCTTTCAAATCCATCTTTGAAAAACCTGCTTAAGTTCTTGTGGAACAGACAGAGAAAGCCACTTCTTTTGGGATCAGAGTGACTGATAGGGAGCATGACTGAGAGAGCTTTGAGGATGAGTTCAAGAGAAAACAAACAACAAAGTATTTCCAGAAAAATCTCCAGTGGAGCACATTGTCTGAGTTTTTTTTTGTTTGGGCCCTTGATGATCCACTTCAAAATCTTCCACTGTGGCTTGTTGTCAGCAGTCAGAGACTTCGGAGGCGTCACTGGTGAGTTTCCGACGTCGCCTCACCGATTTCTCCTCATCCTGCACAGTAAAACAACATTTCTATGGACCACACAGAGACTGACAAGAGACAACTGCGCCCAGAGTTATTTGCTCATTTCTGTGATTTGGATGATCAGACTTTTGTTTTATGACAAATTTATATCGAACTTTGAGAAATTCCAAAAATGTACAGTACTACTACTTCAGAGTAGAAGACCCACTATATGTCACGTCCAACGACTAATCTTTTGAAACAGGACATGAAAATTTTTACTCACAGTCTGGAAGATTCCATTCGGTCCCCACTCTCCAGGGGACTGGTCCTCTGGGTCTTCTGCCTCTTCTTCCTCCTCTTGTCCTTCCTCCTCTCTCACAGTGTCCATCCCGTCCTCCTCATACTCTGTCAGACAGTCTGACTCCTCCGCTGAAGGGAAAGATTTAGAAGCGATATTAGGGCGATAAATTATATAGTGGCTGAACCCACCTGCATCTATCAAATGTCAGGGACGTGTTCTGCTATATTCCAATAAATGATGTTTGGTCGAAGTAGTAAGCCCTTATTTATTATACCAGTTTAAAAAAAAAAGAGATCTTGAAGGTGAACTGTGAAAAGTGTTTAAAATACGAAAGAAAAAAAAACAGAGCAAACAGTAAAAATGGAATAAAGAATGAATACTTCACCCTCAGCAGAAACATAGTTTTGGACTGGCTCGATCCTGGAGACAATCTCTGCAAGGTCTGTGAAGTCGGCTCCTTGGCATGTGCATGACTGGGACACACATTTTTGATTCATTCATGGCGAATATTGTAGCAATTAAAAAAAAAAAAAAAGCTTTTCATTGATCTGATCGTCTGGATTGGATTGGCAGATATGGGCATTTTATGCTAAATCGGTGATCGTTATAATGTGGCAATTTGCAGATCAATCAATAATGTCAGTGACTGGAGCCACAAAATAAGACATTACATTCAACAAAATCTTGTTCATTCCAGGGACGTTATGTGCTGCCATAGTTAGTAATCCTAAAATTTTCAGAATATGCAGTCGGATTATTTTAAATTTTGCCCAATACAGTATTATTATTTATTTTTTTTTTGAAGATGGGTGAGGGAGAGCTCAATGCAATGCATTTTCTGTGTATTGAAGATGTATTAGCATTTTGCAGAGAATTTTTATGTTTTTCCAATGTATTTCAGTGGGTGTCAATTATACACCAATTTTGGGTATTCGTGGGCTGACCCGGTCCCAATCCCCTGCAAATAGTGGGGGTCGACTGTACTGTAAATTAACAAGTCTTTTTTTTTTTTTTTTGGATCGGTGATCGGCTCCAAAAACCCAGATTGTGAAAAGCCTAGTCAAAAAATAATGCACATAACACACACATGCAGCATATTACTTACTTACAAAATATTCTCCTATTGTGGCAGTTATTCGGCTTTTGGGCCAGCATCCTTTTCACAGAATTGTTTGTTTTATGGTTGGACACTTGCTCGACTCTCTAAACATTTAACGATCAAGTAAAATTTCTCATAGTGGTACTTGTGGCTCTCACATCAACTCTTTTGCTGTCGTTGTAGTCAGCAGATCGATGGTCCCTGAGCATGTTTTCAATGATGTCACCTCGGGCCCAGCCAGTGAACAACAGCTTACCGTGCTGGAAGCCCACATCCTGAAAAAGCAGAATGAATCAGCAGGAGACGTTTGTAACAACAAGAAAGAGAAATGCTCCGGTTAAAATGCCCAAAAGCGGTGATGATGTATGATCACAGATGATTTAGATATATCTGAGGAAACAATACTAGCCATAACCAAAACATAGAGTGCCTGGTGAAGGTATCAGCCCCCTTGAAATGTTTCACCTTCTGCCACAATTCAGCTTTCAAACATAAATCCATCCATCCATCCATTTTCTAATCCGCTTATCCTAATGAGGGTCGCGGAAGTGCTGGAGCCTGCCTATCTATCTGATCTGTCTAGCTGTATTTCTTTTTTTTTTTTGAGGACTCAACACAATGTGGGACACAATCGTTAAGTGGAACAAAATGTATACAATATTTTAAGCTTTTTTTTTTTTAACATGAAAAGTAGGAGGTGGGAAATTATTCATCCCCTTTTCTCTCAGTGCAGCCAAATGTCTCCATTACTTCTCTTTTGGCTTCTGAATGATTGAATGTTGACCTTAATGATTGATGGGGGCAGATCATTTTGCAAATCCCACTTTCCAGGTTTTTATTTGTAAAAAAGTTCCGCTCCACAATTGTGACCTACTAATTACTGATACCTGACACACATACACACACACAAAAAAGAAACATCTAATTTAAAAGCTATGTTTGCAGCCACGGCACGGTTGTCGACTGGCCAGCACATCCGCCTCACAGTGCAGAGGTGCAAGATTCGATTCGGGCCCTCGCCTTCCTCTGTGGAGCTTGCATGTTCTCCCCGTGCCTGCGTGGGTTTTCTCCAGGTACCCTGGTTTCCTCCCACATTTGGAAAACATGCATGGCAGGTTAATGGAACACTCTAAATTGTCCCTAGGTGTGAGTGTGAGCGTGAATGGCTGCTCGTCTCTGTAGGCCCTGCGATTGGCTGGCAACCAGTTCAGGGTGTCCCCCGCCTACTGCCCAAAGACCGCTGGGACAGGCATGCCAGTGAGCCTTGTGAGGATAGGTGGATTAGAAAACGGATGGTTGTTTGAAGCCTGAAATGTGGGAACAGGTCAAAAAGTTCAAGGGGGTGTCAACACTTTTGCAAGGCCCTGTATATTTACACGAACAGGTCAAAACAGTTATCCAAGATGTCTTACCATTCACATTGGTATATAAAGTGAAAGAGAAAAGTCTTATGAAGCAACTCACATAAATCTCGTCAAACTTGCCAAAGTCCATGGTCTTGAAACGATCAATGGGCGGTCTAATGTACTCGCAATAAGCACTTTTCTTGACCACCTCTAATTGCCGCACACAAGACACATAGGCAAGCCGAGACTGGATCTCTGCCATGTCTGGCACCTAGATAACGTTGTAAAGATTACAATTACAATACAATAACTGTAAAACTGACACAAAAGTAGTTCGTCACAGGAAGACGCTGAATGGAAGCAATGCATTCATCATGGTCATCACGGTCATGCTTGCCAAGCCAGACGCACCTTGACTTTTTCGGCCCAAGGATTGATTCGTTTCCACAGTAACCACCAGCCAGACAGACAGTCGCCATAGTTACAGAGGTCTGTCTCATCCTGGCTGCCCACATCAATGGCAATGACTGTTTTGGCGCCCATGTTCCTCGCAATATCCGCTGTGATGTCCGCAACACAAACACCAGAATCGAGCCGCAGATAAAGAGATAAAGGCTCCTTCAATACAAGTCGCATTCTTGCTCCCAAAGTAAATCAACTAACACCACCAAAATGATTTCCGTCAGGGAATTTAAAGTCAATTGGTGACTAACTGATGTGGACATTTTAGAAAATGAATACACAGAACACAGAAGTGAGATGGGAATGATCATCTTTCTCATGAACGGACTCAAGGTAAACAACTGGGCCTCGACATTGTGGTGGTGTTATTGCCATTTAAAGACAAAGTGCAAAGCTCTGATCCAGTGTCAAAAAGGCCCATAAATACTCTTGATTGATCAAACATCTCGGGGAGAGGGCGGCCTTATAGTTTATCAATAAAGGGCTGCTGATTTTACAAAACTGCAAGTCTGTTGGGATCAATTTTTGGACCCGCAGAGCGCCATAATTCACAAGCTTCAGTGACAACTATCGGCGGAAGACGAGACATGATTCCCAGAGCGGAGCTTTGTGAAATGTGGCTGCTCGGTTTTATCAGGATGACACAGAATCTTGAGAAAGTATTTTCATCTTCATAACATATTGGACTTGAGAAACTCGACACATCTTACACACCGAGATGTAATGGATCTCTTTAAAGAAGGATTCTTTAAAGAGATCCATTACAACTCAACTCATCTTTACTGTGGTAGAAATGGGGACAAAGGTTGATTTTGGAACAGAGCAAGACCAGTACAATAAGTTGTGCCGAGTCATAATTTCCTGTGATTGATACAAGACCAATGTCACAGTTTTCCAAATACATTCCAAATGAGCATAGAACATTTTCAACAGTGTTGCTCTGTTCTAAGAAAATTTCAACTGAGGGCACGAGGTCCTGATGTCAATCAACTAGTGTCAGCCGGTCAAAGAAAGACGGGAAATGTTTTTATTCATGCTTACAATTGCATTAATTGGACTTTGCACAACTAGACTTTGTCTTCATGTCTAAAAGTAAAAACTGATAAACGATATCAACTTGAAACGTACCATACTTTCCAAGTATCTGACACTAGCTGATGAGGCAGACATCAGGTCCAAAGTAATACTTACATAGCACCGCTAACACTCCCAATCGGTTTGTATAAAAGTGCAGTGGCCAAGAGCAAAGTGTACTCTCCACATCAAATGGGTCTGACAAAGATTATCTTTGAGTGTTTTTAAATTGAGGGTGCGTTCACAGTCACACCATCCATAGCAGTTGTCTGTCGGTAGATGCAAACCATCACATCTTTTAGATGTGCAGGATAATGTATTCAAAACGGACAACGATCAATTTTGTGGAGTGGCTTGGATCAGAACAGTACCAGCCAAAAAAAAAAAAAAAAAAAAGACAACTTTCTACCCAGTAATGGACGGTACAGCCCAGATGAAAAGTGTGAAGTTGTCTTTCTAAAATGGAACATTTGAAACATACTTGGCATGTACTTT